ATCACGAACTCGTTTCAATAGTACGCCACTGAGCTTATGACGGGAAGGAGGTTTCATGACGAATCTGATCACGAACTCGTTTCAATAGTACGCCAATGAGCTTATGACGGGAAGGAGGTTTCATGTCAGGAGCCACCATAGCTAGAAACTCTCGAAAAATGGGCGCATCGGCAAGCATAAATGGCAGCGCACAAACATAAAATACACGAGCCAGCGCCATTTCAAAAGCGTCTTGAGTCAGTTGGTTTGGTACGGTCGACTGTTCAGCTTCAGCTCCTGACGTTTGGGACGGGGTTGCATTGCAGATGTCGCTGGCCGTAATGAGACCACCACATGAGCAGGAACATTACGGCGCTGTTTACCCTTTATGAGGTGGTTTAGTAGGTTACCACTGGGCTTGCCATTTTTCTTTAGGATACCACAGTATTTGCAGCGTCCGTGCTTCTTTCCGTTTTCACGCTCCACATCGTAGTGCTGCCAAATCTCGTCCCATGGACGTCCAGTTTTCACCGGGGACGGCTGAGATCGCCTGACCAGGGCCAGAGAGCGCGGGGGTCGTGAAGGTGTCGACGATGGAGGCTGAGGTGAAAATTCCACCCTCCTCGTTGCTTCAGACGGTCGTGTAGAAGGTTGAGAAGTGCTGGTGTACGACATACCTGCTCGATATGGACTGTAGCGTGGTGAACGCCTTAATGCCGTCCCAGAGGGTGGTCCGCGGGCGCTTGTTTCCGACCGTGGAGTAGCTTGTGGTGATGCTGAAAGCTGTGCCCCAAATAGTGACGCGTCACGAGGGCAGTCTGCCGGTGCCATGGCGGCACTATAGTGTGAGAAGTGTAAGATTGCGAAAGATCGCCACAAGCACTGGCTTTTAGACACTTTTAGACATTTCAGACACTTCAAAAAGTGTTTAAAACATTTTAGATTGTTTTGGATGTTCTTTACTCTCCAATCCAAAACCATCTCTAACTGTAACAGATGATCCCCTCGGTATTGATATCCCGAAAAGTGATTCCCTCCAGATTAGAAAACTCTGATAAACCGGCGCCATCCTCTAAATATTGAATAATGCTACGAATATTGCTATTAGAGATGTTTAACTATTGGCTTCATCATTTGTGTTCAGGGCGATTTTTATGGCATCTGCTTCGCCTTCTAAACAAAAAGCTTTCTGCATGATATCAAGACCAATTTGCATTCGTGGTGACACTGGCATTTCGTCAGTTTGATATGGATAGCTTCGCCAGTAGCACAGACACCCTGATCTTGATATCAGCAGACCCAACTTGAGAGCGCTGAGCTGACTTTGAAATCCACATGTAGCGACATGTGCAGCCAGAAGAACCTTAATACGAATGGTGCCGAGCTGAGATGCTTTCCGTAAAGGTTCACAATTTTCTAATAAAAAGATGCAGCCAGCCACTGGCAAGTGTCTGCAATCCACGCGTACCATTTAATTTCTCGGTTTTAAACCTTGATCGAACTAGCTTCGCCGGCCACCTGTCATCGAACTGCTATCACACCGTGTATCTTTTAACGCAATAACTAACTCCTAATAGTGATAGTATCAATACAGAGGGGGTCATCTGCCCATGAACTTCGTTGTAGTCAACGTTCCTTAAAGTGAGAAATGTCTCCTCCCCGCCTGGTCGAATATCCGTCTGTCCACAAAGACAAGGCAATACGATGCTACAGATCAATATGTCCTAGGTGAACATTTGGGAGGTGGATCGATTATCACAGAATATTTTATTTGGATACCAACTCCTGAGGTATCAGATAGAAAAGGGTATTTATCAATAGAGGCTATTGCTACATGTACATGTGTTAGGTCAGAATCAGCGATTGCGTGCTCTCGATCCCTCGTTTGCCTTCATTTTCAGTTTTCTCTCCTGCGCTGCACTACTGTTCACAACGTCAAAGGAATTCGATGCGCTTCACTTTCGTGCTTCTAGCCGTTGTAGCCTCTCTGCTTTCAAGTACCGGGTGTGCTAAGAGCCTGCGTCAAGATTCCCCCGACAAGATCGAGGAATCGGCGAAAAATGAAGAAAGATGGTTCAAGTTGGGAGGCAAGGTTACCGCCGAAGCGGCACCGATCAAGTCATCGAAGTGGAATGATGCTTTCGCCAAGGTGCTTAAATTCATTCTTCCGCATCCAGAAGGCAGATTGGTGTACAAGGGAAACGGCCAGTGGAGATTCAAACCTAATTAAAACGGAGGCGTGCACAGTTGACGAATTTGAAGAAGAAAATTCTCAGCTAATGCAGACTTTAGTGAAGATGTGACCCCTAGAGTAGCGATGTAGGTATGCGTAGTGATTCCGCAATGATGATAATCCACATGTCAGCTTGTACGTTTTAGCGAGTCGAATGAGTTGGCTAGTTAGCTCCAGGATTCTGCACATGTACGTACGAATGTCTACTAATATCAGAAAAAGACTACCGTAATTGCATACTTCTACAAGTTTCAGCTATTATACAAGCTGACTGTGTGTAGATACTACGTAGTACTGGATGTTCGTATTGCACACGCATCATGACATCGATGGTAACGGGATGTTGGATTTCGTGGAGGTCAATAATTGACGTGTTGCTGAGACTATATTCGAGGAGTTTTATTATAGCTGTTTCTGTCTAATCCAGTAGAATATAAACTTGCACCCATGATAAATGATCGACTTGCATCGGTATTAGCTCAGCATCATTCTTACAACGTGAAGTTAAGTCGGTGCAACTGCAAGCGGACACTGTGAGTCTACGTGCATCTGTAACCTACGCTACTGGTGCGTCAGTTTGGTTTAGACGAACACAAAGAAACAGAAAACACACACACATTGAGTGCATAAGTATCTCCTATAAATCCATGATTCGTCGCTAAATTCACTGAGAATGGGAAACATGGGTTCTATATTATATTCATTTGACGGTTTCTGTAAGAAAATCTACAAAATTGAAAAGGCTCTCCCTACGTTCACCAGTTCTTGGGTAGAAAACAGCCACTTGCTTCAAGGAATCGGGCACATGGCAATACCGGTTCCATCGGTATTTATAAAAAAAAATCTCTACGCTTGATGTGTACCACACATCTCCAGGACTTAGCACCGCAATCTACATGTGTCTATGCTGGCGAGATTTGCTCTCGCATTCTCATGAGTGGGCAGGAGATAGCAATACACAGTCTGATACAGTATATGTAATTGTGTATAGGGGTACTATTAGCTGGTCTCGTTAGCTCGTAGAAATGTCCATAAAGACTGACTGGAACATGTTGTATCTGCATTCATCTAGGTCCGTAGCCGAAATTGTTTTGGGGGTTAAGTCCTAAATATTCTCTTCAGCCTTGGTGGTCGCAGCGACGTTAAGAAACGTCTCAAACCACTTGACGATTAGTACTCCGCAATTATATCCGTCCTTCTGATGCCATGCGGATGAACGTCGAATGGTCAGCGTCCATATATTTTCAATCAACAGTACCAGTTTTCTCAGCACAATGTTTTCGACTTTATCAAGAAAATCGTATCTGTCTTTGGGGTCGTAAATCCAGATAATCTTGCTGCCGAAGTCGATAATTGCCCCGCACCAATGCTGAATATCGACGTTGATATATATTGCAACCAGGATGACGCGGGAAGCGACTACTTTGCTCAGCACGCATACCTTGGTATCGAGCATCCGCGCACAGTCAAGTTCGTGTTCGAAGCCTAGAAATACAGGATCGACCACGGGTATGTCTGTAATTCGTCCGCCATCGCGTGCGCGCATCGACACATCCACCAATTTTAGCGCTGCTACGAAAACGGATCCATCGCATAGCCACATTTCTCCTGCAAATTTTGTCAAGTCATCAAACTGTACGATAGTTTCTCCGACCTTGGCTTTAAATGCTGGGAACATGTCATCGTAGCCACACGGCTAGCAATTGCACGGCGCGTTTCTGTGTCAGGTTTTGTTCCAAGCCATTTCATCAACGATTGAGTGGCCGAAATTTTCTTCTTGGCACAATGCCATTCCTACATGGTGTCGATGTCGGTGAGAGAAAATGTACGAACACCTAAGATTGATATGATGATGTTGTCATACGGTGGTGTGTGTCCTGACTTGCTCTGTTCACGAGCGATAGCGTTCATTCCGGCTGTTCGCGACTTTTGCACGAGAGCTTCCGGGAGAACGAACCTGATTCTTGCTTCGACAGTTTTCGCAGTTCCTGGTGCAATAGCATGTTCTTTTGGTCGCGTAAATACAGCGTTTTCGTGCTGTAGTCGAATCGCATTGAAGACAGGCCCAACTTGTTTCAGCGACAGGTGTTTTTGGTTCACACAGTTCCGAAAATTAGATAGAGTAATATCACCGTGAGCATTGACTTGCTGGACAAGAGCCTTCGTCTCGTCAAATTCATTACGCCGCTTTGCCTTTTTTGTAGATTTTTTCCGTGGTCGCCCAGCCGGTTTACTCGCAGGGTTTAGCACAATGTTGACTATTTCTTAATTTGATCCACTCGCAAGATCATCCAGATTTAGAGGCGTTGTTATTCAGGGTGCAGGAGACGCAGGAATAGAAACAGGTGACGAAGTCAAATCAACAGCGGCTTTCTTTTCACTACCATGATCTTCATCGGTTGCTCGTCCATCAGTGCGCGGTACGTTTTGACTGTGCTGGTGACACGTTCACTAATGTTTGTAAGAAGTTCACCACCATCTTTATCCTGATCACTAATGCTGGTAACTGGATCACCACTGTATGTGACTGGATCGCCAAGTTCATGGACGTGATCTATATCTTCGACATCTCGGCGCTGACGTGGTGGCTTGTCATTATGACGAGCGAATCTCTCTAATCCTGCAAGGTAGTCGAGCCAAGCACGAAAATTCTTAGAACCTTTGTCCGCCACAACTTCTGCAATTCTCTTGCACACTGCAAACCCCGACCGATACTTCTCGTTTTGACCAAGAGTGCGGGTAGGAATAGCTTCAATATCTTCGACGATAATTTTCTATGTATTCTCTATCGAGACTACATCTTCTTCGTCTTCATCGGCAAGCAGCCACCGTCCAGGTATCGCCTCATACGGAATTATGGAACGCATGTTCGCATTGAGTCGCAGATAAAGTATATGTCGACAAGGAAGCAACATGGTCTGGTTAAACGCGCAGCTGCACGTGTGTTCAGTCAAATTCACAGCATATTGGCCACCCGATTTGGCACTGGCTAGAGTAAAAAAACGCTGGAGTATTTTCAACTGTCGTTGTATCATACGTCTCTTGGCCGCTAACAAGATACTGATCTCCAACCAGATTGCATGCGTGATGAGTTGCCAGTTTTGCCAACATACTCATACCTTCATCATAGTTTTGGTTGTAGCGGAAGCCCACGCGCTTCACCTTGGCAGTGTACTGTTCTTCGGCGGACTGTTGCAAGAACAGGATATGATCAATGCACACATCCATGGCGATGTGACGATGTAGCGCGCCCTTGGCAGCAACCTAACTAGCTTCCAGACGATTATTCGTGTTGTTGGCAAGATGCGGAATGTTTCCGCGCTTGAAAGTACACGACAGATCCTTACAGTTGAGCCAAT